TACTTTTATCTATGTTTACATGATGGGATGCTAAAAATGAAATACTTTTATCTATGTTTACATGATGGGATGCTAAAAATCATATACTTTTATCTATGTTTACATGATGGGACGCTAAAAATGAATTTACAGTCAGACAGGACATGTGCATAACTCGGGAGACGAAGTAGCTTCATTGATATGGGATCACGCCTACTATAGGGTTTACTTGCACGGAGCCATGCCATTCATATCTTACATATATCCATAACCACTTCAAAGAAAGTGCTATTCAAGCAATGTAGGAGGCAGATGACAGCCCGGCGCAGTTCGACGAGTGAGAGGTGGAGGAAGGGCATTTTGCTGTTGTGTTCATTGCTTTACAAGAGCTGGCTACTAATTTCTACAAACTTTGACTGCGATCACTTCACGACTTCACTAGATTTCACAAATCTCTATTTGATGGCTCGACACGATAACGTGAAGCGGCAAACGTGCAAAATACCCCCTCCCCGCCCTCCTCCGTTGCCGAACTGCGCCAAGTTGAAAGCAACAGTTCTAAAAATACCGTGGAAAACAAAACAAAGTTCAGATGACTCACTGCAATCGCTGATAACCACATTCCAATCGATAAAACAACACGAGGATTGTAACGATCTCCCAGTATACCACCTCCAAACAGACCCTTCAACCATAAAATTCAGAACTCGTGTGGTGGCCACAGTGTTAAGTCTAGATTGAACACCGTCATCGAATGACTCATACCTAGTTGATAGCAACTGTTACGAGCTAGAACTTACCACAGAGTATGCGAAAAGGAATCCACCGTCCAGCATTGCAAGAAACTCAGATGCTGCTTGATCGGTAGGAAAAAGCGGAGGTCTGGAATAAAATTTCAAACATGATCAGAGGTCTAATTGTTCGAAAACGAAGAGCTTCTCTGTTGGGATCATTTGCCAAACATAAAAGGGTAAATTTCAACAGTATCAGGTTCATTATTAAAGTAAAGTTCCAGCAAATGAAGCCTAGAGCGCCGAGGTTGGGCCCGTGCCCTCTACGGGGGCATTTTGTAAATCATGGCAAAAGTAAAAAAAAAACAAGAAAAATATCGAATAGCGCATGCTGAATGAAAACACAAAATGCCCTTGTAGCAGATTCAAGTCGAGGTTAGAACGCGCTCACACTCTTCGGCAGCGTTTTGAGCGACTAGAAAAGTATACGTATCCATCCAGCGTTGCGAACGGTAATCGTCGTTATCTATACATTCTTAGTCGCTAAGAACGCTGGCAGGCGCTCAAAACGCTAGGTCGATACCTATGCTTTCCCAGTCGCTCAAAACGCTGACGCAAAGTATGAACGCACTCCCAGCTCCCCAATACTCCAAGCCACACAGTGATACGTTGCCGGCTTCAACAAGGTTCTTTACAAAGCCAATCAGAATATTTGCGAGACAGAATTCCTGACACTGTCTTTTTTCTTTAATAAAACACTTGTCGAGACGACTATGGCTCATGATCATTTTCATAATCAGCTGTAGCAGAAAGAATGAACATTATGAGATGAAAAAATCAAAAAGGGTTGAGCATATTTTCTCAAAAACTCACTTGGTAGAAGTACCATGAGTCCATGTCGCAATCATAGATGGCTTCACAGTGGATAACGTTTTCCTGGCCGCGTGTATCAGAGCAAAACTGAAGGAGTAAAGTTATAGGTTTGCCGGTAGCAGTCACACTGGCATAAAAGTTTTTCGAACAAGAAGGGGAAAGGGTCAATGGTTCACATCTGGTGCGCGACCTTCCCTCATCTCTTACGTGCACCAGATCCGTGCGCATTCCTAGGGATGGGTCACGCAAGCATACATTACATACCTTCGATGGATAGTAGGAACACCAAGCTCTACGGTGTTTGTGGAACTGAAAAACGTGAGTGAACGAAAGCGTTCTGAATATGATGAACTATGTCTCAAGTACACCGCCTTGTGATAAATGTATGAATCCTGGTGCATTAAATGAAACACATTGAATTGTTCCGAATTCGATAGCAGCGTACTCGTGGTCATAACTCTTCCTTGTACCCCAATGAATGACATTTTATAAGATACTGAGTGTTTAAATATCACAAAATGCAAAAAAAAAAACTCGCAGATGTGGGGACACAGTAAAATAAAAAAAGTTGTGGTCCGTAAAAAAGCGGGCAGCCGTGATTGCCAGAACGTGCATTATACGTAGCAGTGAGAACGCAAGCATCGTTCGTTGGGGAATCCATACGACGAGGTCCGTGTCTTATCATATCTTGAGGGGTTGATTTCGGTTGGCGTTGTGGAAGTGGCGTGACCTTTTGGGTCTTTCCCTTTCCACGTAGTATATGCCCCCCCCCCGCTTGACAGCTGATTCGATGAGGAAGGACAGAGGGCTGAGGAAATTGAGAGGGTCGTACCAACATCCCAAAAAGAGGGCGGTGTCTGTATTGAATCGACATAAATCCCAACCCATGATGTGCCCTGCAGAGAGAACCTGAAAGGGAGAAGATTTGTTAGGGTGGCTCGTAGAGCACATCATTGTTGGGGATTCCCCAACAGCGGGGATTGTATTTTGCCGAATAGAGAGGGGGAGGTCGTAATGAAGCGGCGGTATGGCGCATAAGATCTAGCGCAATAGGTGTCATAAGTGAAGCCGAGCTTCCGCGCAGCGTAGCGTGTAGCGAAACTTGCTTTTTAGAGAACTCGGATATGTAAAAAAATAGTACAAAACTTTCTTTGATTAAACTAATCAGAAATAACTGGAAATATTAATAAGTCGACATCATCTCGTAAGTAGGTATATGGCTAAACAGTACAACTCATACTCTGGTTCGCTGCGGATGATGGGGCGTGTCCGCGATCGCGCTTGGCGCTGAGCCAACCTGTCTTTTTTTTCGACAAACGACAGGACTACCATATCGTTCGTATCAGACGTTTTCCAGCAGTTGGTCTCCTTTATCAGAGTCAGCAATTGGCGGAGCACAGATCTGGCGGCGTCGGACACGGACACGCCCCATCATCCGCAACGGACAACACTGTAAACAAGTGCGTAGGTTGGCCATGGAACTCCCTGAATCCTGTAAACACATCTGCTCGTGTAGACAGGCATTGCGTGGAACTGCACCATCCCATTACCTCTGCGTGGGAGCCTAGGCATGGCGCATCCACAAATGAAGCTAATAAAACACCTACTGCTTGCTCCTATTCCACGAAGGGATGCATTCCAGATGCATTTCTGGATATCCGAGTACGCTCGCTTGAAACGGTACACAGAAAACGGATTTTTCGAGCAGCTCGGAGTGCTCCCTAATAAATCCCCAACGCAATTATCTCATGAATCCCGGAAACTTCACAAACAGCTTAAGTGGTTTTTGAAAAGAGGAAATCTTCTAGTATTCGACACTGGTTTCAGATTTGCAAACTGTTGAGTTTTAAGGAAAATATCTTCGTTCAAACCAGGACAGTTTGCATGCGGAGGTCAAAATCCTCAATAGATCCCCAACGCTCAAAGACAAGTTGTTTTCCTGGAAAACGCGCCCCATTCCAACCACCTTGCGGCGTTGGTCCTGCCCAGAATCCCTTCCAATCGATTCCTCGGCCGTTTTCCAGCTGATTGCGGCTGTTCCTTATGGTCGAATAAATACGCGCAGTTTGCTAGGCGCAGTCACCGAAAACGTTGTAAATGTCGTGACATGAAGGGGAACTTGGTTATATAACTGGCGAATGAAACGTATCGAAACTGGCAATTTCATTCGCAGATGTGTAAACAGTGAAAGAGCTTATCAAGTTGGAACTAAAGCTCCAAATGAAAACAAGGTATCGTAAGGTGTGCCTTCAATGATCGGCTTCGTCGCCCATGGCGGTCGGTGTAACAAATGGTAATTCATCGTTAGGACCTCACCACACCAGCTCCTACTCGACTCTAGGCTCCACGACAACAGAAGGTATTCCATTAGTACTTGAGTTCTTCAAAAACTTCTAGTAATGTTTGTCGCTTGATGTGGAATCATATTTCTGGCGTTTATGGCGAATGGGTAGCGTTCAGACTTTGCGCTGACGCGCGTCCTCCAGAGCTATAGACGCGAACGCAGCCGCAGACGGGCGGCGCATGTGTTTCAAAAGAGTATGGGGAACCAAGGTGTTACGCAACCTAAAATTGATCGGCACTGGTCGTCCGCGGCTGCCTCGTCTATAGCTTTCGAGCTCTGCAACTCTAGCGCGCGCGTTGGGGCGCTGCAGAGCGTCTTCACACGTTACAGCGCGTCGACGCCAAGTCTGAATGCTGCCTTACTTTCTGCAGCTTTCTTAACAGAAGTACCACATATAGTCATAGATAGGGCGTCTTGCAAAGTTAGGGTATCTTACGTGACTGGAGGAAGCGCAGCCGGGGCGACCACTTTCCACCAATGATGCTATCCTGAGCCTGCACTGGCTGAGCTCCAAGCCACGCCGCAGTCACACACCCTATCGTTTGCAGTGAAAATGACCACATCTTCTCGTAATCCTTATCGAACACTATTGCGCTCATCGCGCTATCGTACATTTCATCTTCAACTTAAATGAGGGGTCGCCATGACTGCAGATTTTGGGCTAATGCCGTTTGGACTCCAGCAACTTCGGCACCGAGCTCATTTTTAAATTGCCTAAGTTACCAAATCCGCTAAAAACTTGTATGTAGGGGTAGTTTAACATCCTGATTACGAATATGACATTCACTCTTGCCGCTGGCGCTAATGGATGACACTACGATTACCTGCGCTCCGCTAAGGCTGAGCCCAAGAGGTAATCGTAGTGTCATCCCTTGGCGCCAGCGCCAAGAATGAGTGTCATAATTGTAATCAGGATGGTAACCCTTGTACATATTTTCAGCGGGTTTGGCGACTTAGGTAATTTAAAAATGAGCTCGGTGCCGAAGTTGCTGGAGTCCAAACGGCATTAGCCCAGATTTGTTGGATTTCAGAAACCACGACTCTGGATAAAGCGGCAAGACACTATGTTGAGAATCCAGCGTATATGGATGGACGGAGTGAGTAGAAAAAAATGCTTCCCGAGTTTGAATACGAGACCACAGCAGATTCGTAAACAGACTGAATCCCGAACAGATTCGATTTCCTACTTTATATTAGGTTGTCCGGAAAGTTCTCAGCGTTTTGGGTGTTTCACTTTAAACGATCGTAACTTTTTAATACTCATCGGATTCAATCGAAACAAGCACCGTTCGAATCAGCACACTTTTGCCAATGTGACACCAGTCGAGAAATCCCATCAAAGAAAAAAACTGGGTGGTCGAGAATCTACGAAATCCACGAAGGCTTTTTTGCCTGGTCCTGATTGATGAAGTATTTTCCAGCAAGGAAGTTCTGAAAATGTTTGAAAAGGTGATAGTCGGTTGGTGAAAGGTCTGGAGAATATGGCGGGTGAGGTAGAACTTCACCTCCAATTCGTTCAATTTATGGATAGTGATTTGTGAAACGTGTGGGCGGGCGTTGTCATGCAAAGGAATCGGGACCTTTTTTGATAAGTGTTGGCTGCATCTGACAAAATTTTCGGTACAATTCGTCGATTTCTTCACAGTAGGGTTCTGCTGTGATGGTTTGGCCTGGTGAAAGTTATAGTGGATCACACCAGCCGATTGACCACCAACCTGACCAGAATCTTTTTTTCGTGAGGGTTCGGCTTTGAAAATTACCTCGGTGGTTCGTCGAAATCCAACCACTGTCCGGAACGTCTCCTGTTATCATACATGACCCATTTTTCATCACAGGTGACAATTCGGCCCAAAAACAGGTCGTTTCTGCGCAAAAGCAATGCAGAAGGAACCTCGAGACGTGCCGATTCCTGCCGGTCACTCCGATTGTGGGGCACCCAATTGTCGAGTTTTTTCACCTTCCCAATGCGTTCCAGACCATCTGCAACAGTGGATTTGCCAAGGCCTAGCTCTTCTGCTATCTCTCGAACTGTTTGGGATGGGTCAGCCTCCAAAATCCCCCTAAAATCCTCGTCAGATATTGCTTTAGGTCGACCGCTATGAGGTTCATCTTCAAGGCTGAAATCTCCAGAACGAAATTTGTTGAGCCATTGCCGCACAGTGCTTTCTCTAGCACTATTGGGCCCACACCTGGTTAATTTGTTGAGCTGTTTCGATTGCGGATTGCCCCAATTTATAGTCGAAGAAAAAAATCGTCCGAAGTGCTCTTTTCACATGCTTGAAAAAATCTTGAAAAAAGGGGGTTTATCAAGCAATGGTGAAACGGCAATTATACCATCAGATAGCGCAAGAAATTCTCTACAGGATGTGCTACTGAGAAGCAAGGCAGAATGAGTTTTTAATCAGCAGTGAATGTACAAAAAATAGGTGCACAAAACGCTGAGAACTTTCCGGACAACCTAATAGTATTAGGCGTTTTTGGGCTAAAGGGGGGGGGGCACTTTGCACCTTTGCTGGTTCCTTTCGAATGACATATCTCACCTGGTAGAACTTGTAGATTTTTGCCAAGAGTAAACGAAGCTCATGCGATTGCACAGCTGTACAGGGACCTACAAGCCCCCGAAGGAGGCGTCGGCAGGAATCGACGGGAATCAGCAAAATGCCCTCCCTCTACCAAGGCGAACTGCGTTTAAAATTTTGTTGCAAGACGATTCACACATACATCGCCCAACCGAGTGTAAATGAAAGCGTCCAATTGCGGCAACTAGCAGAGATTTCCTAGGTAATTGGCGGCCATAGCAAGCCACGCCAAACTGGTTGGGTCCTTTTGTTAAATTGCATGCGACACCGTTCGCAATGCATCTTTCCTTACCCTAGCCGCAACTCGGATTGAGTATGAGACAAGACAATCGCAATATTCCGCGCCGATGGGCGTGGCGAGCGACACCGCGCCTGACAGGCGAGGCCATTTGAATTCAAGTGTTAAGAGATGGGGAAATCGCTCGTTATGGAGTCTTTGCTTGAACTCATATGAGTTTCGCTGCTCTAGTCGACAAACTGATGCACTTAGAGTATCCGCCGCCCGATACCCCGCGCGCGACAGCGCGATAAATTACGACTGCCTTGTCCTCTCCTCGGATCTACCGAATACATCCAGTGCAACCATAGATTCCTTCCCATCATTCCATGCAAAAGTGGGCGGGGCACGTCTCGCGCTGTGGCGAAGCTGATAAGGACAAAGGTAGCGAGAGGGGAGGGGGAGGGGCACCATGGCGGCGCGACCATAAAATGTCATCACTTCTCTTGTCTCTCTCTTCTCTTGTCCTGACTTCTCTTGTCTTGGTGTCTCACTGTCTTGCTACGTTTGTTATTCACCCATCGATCAGTCTTCCGCACATAAATGCGCCAAGAACTCAATTCTATTTAGGACACTGCCTAGGTGAGAGTACGCAGACAGGCAGGCATGGTGCGGCTCAAGCAGCCGCGTGCCTCCTCCCAGCTATGTCTACTCCGCGAAAAGTCATAGGACAGCTTGCACCTAGGAAAACCATAGAAGTCGTAGGCAACGTGGTCAATTGGGCTTTGCGAAGCGACCGCCCGCGCGCTACACACTCCCCCCCTCTCCCCATGTAACAAGACAATCGTAATTTGGTGGGCGTCGCGTGCGAGGTCCCGGCCGCAAATGACGATGTCCTGAAGTCGTAGGTTTCTACAAAAGATAGTAATTAGCCAAAAATAGCCATAACGTCTGCGATGACGTAGACTACAAGAAAATCGGTACACCATTCGACAGGCTAGCGCAATTCCGGAGAACGCCCATCGTCGCGTGCAGCAGAGCGGCGAGTTGCGATTGTCTTGACCGTCTCTCCCTTCCCCCTGCGTTCTAGGTGCGACTAGGGGATGCAGCAGATGTGAGTAGACGGTTTCAGAAGAGATCATGAAGAGTTGTTGATTAAAGGTGAAAAACCAATGGAAAAATCGATTTGTTGATTTCAGTGCTATTAACGTACGATGTAGAAAACATGTTGATAACATTCATGGCGATTATCACTGGCTTAATGATACTTTACCTTATTATCATGATAGTGATCCGTGTCCATTATAAAGCCCGTGCTGATGAATTACTTCACGAGATGGAGACACAACATCATGCGAAGGACGGAAGTGAGTTCTGTAGGAACACTCATAAAAACGGCCTGGTGAAGGCCGAGTTTGCCCAAGGAGAGAAATTGCTTGATAGTGGGCACTCAGACAAGTAACCAGTTACTGGTTAGGACTACTGAGCGAAAATGGCGGTCGAATGCTCGTTACTGTCGTTTTCTGCAAATAAAGGCGTTTGGCGGAAGGTGGTAGGAGATGGTGCCGATCACGGCCCCTGAGGTTCCTGGCGTGACTGCGGTGACTTAGGCCTCCGAACGCTGACCGCTTGTACTGCCTCTATCTAGTGAAGATTCTCTGTGTTGATCTAGTGCAGCATCGGAACCCAGTACTTATAATTGGAAGGGTGACCACACTTGAAAAGTAATCAATTGTTTCTTTAAGAGACCCCATCACCGTTTGCGATGCCTCCGCGGAAGGATCACCAAGAACAAGAGGGCTATGTACCTGTGGGTAAAATGCGGGACGGTCATCATGCGCTTTATTGGAAGGGTGACCAGGTACGTTGGTATATACAATACAAGACACTTACTTGTTAAGTTTTGATCCGATTCGGGCTGGAAATTCGCTGTGATGACAGAAAGATATGATCAACATTTCATAGTTCGACGTTAGGGTCGAAAATAGCTCTCCAAAGTTGTGCCCAATCTATTCTTCATATCCCAAAGATGGAGAGGGCGTGGCTGCGCACTTCATTTGGACGCAGCTGTGGCTGCGCTTTTGGTCGGATATTGCCGTCATTAGACAGTTGTGATCATGCCTCGCACCATACGACCAACAGGAACCTGTCTTAAAGATGGAGTATTCTCACGAAAAGCTCTATGAAACGGGCATTTGGGCTAATGCCGTCTATGGGTAGGTCGCGGCCACGCCTTCTCCATCTCTGGGATACTCAACGATTTGTCGCCTCGTAATCGTAGTACTCGCCTCTTCAGAGCTGATACATTCCCCCTCAACGCGATTTCTGTGCCGTAGAATCTACATTTAGAAGCTTGATAGAATAGAATGCTTGATACTGATCAGTGTCGCTGAAATCTAGTTAATGTTTACCTTCTTATTGTTATGACATGGGGGTGTTACTGATGAAGTGGGGCAAACTTGTTTTATCTTTTTGTGGGTGCGGGATTCCGCTTACTTTCCACCTTCCCGTGTGTGGAACTTCATAGAGTTGCTTCTGTACCTAACATATGCGGTCCCCCAGAAAACCTGGAATACGCCAGGGATCATAAGTTCAAGAGTGTTGGGGTTTTTCTTGAAGTGCAGTCGAACGGCACGTTTCTACCGACGAAATAGACCAGGATAACTCTGCCGAAAGCAAAAAAATCAGCTGAAGTGCACGAAAAATATCCGCTTTTCCAGGTCGCAGCTATACTTCATCACGCGGCTTTAGCTCCCGTTCTACCATCACTTGAACAGCCTGAGAAGCATGTGGAAATAGCAAATTACCGAAACAGTTAGTATGAGAAGTAGTATGTGCAAAACCTACATCTATTATTTGGGAAATGATTGCAATTCAGTTGGATGAAAGAAAGTTCATGAATAGAAAATATCCGATCTGCATCGTCAATGAGACATTGTTCTGTACTTTTTGTTAATAAAGTATATTTTCATATATAAGTGTGAAGTTGGGGATGATCAAATCCACATTCCTCAGAAATGCAACCGATAACGCGCCTTTAGGCTGCGTTTATACTTTGCGGCAGCGTAGCGTAGCGCTTCCAGCGTACGCCAGCGGCAGTGCCGGGGAGAGGATGGATATCGATCTAGCGTTCCCAGCGTCACCAGCGTTTTGCTAGCGTTTGCAGCGGCAGGGGAGAGACTATGTGGCCGTCAGAGACGCGCAATCGATGTGTATTGTAGAGACTGAGGGCGAGTGAGAGACGCGCAATCGATGTGTTTTGTACCCTCCAGCTCTCCCATAGTCTCTACTCCCCTGCCGCTGCAAACGCTAGCAAAACGCTGGTGAAACGCTGGCGTAACGCTAGCGTACGCTAGCGTTACGCTGGTGACGCTAGAACGCTAGATCG